CCTCATAGCCTCACAAGCCTCACCCTAACCCCTGGCATGACCCTCACCCTAACCCCTCCCGTAACCCTAACCCCTGCCATGCCCCCCAGCATCAACACCCTCGTCCCGCGCGGCAGCAGCAGCGCAGGCGGGAGGTGCTCAGGGCAAGAGTCGCTACTTCCGCATCCCCTTCGTGCGCCCCACCGACGACCCTGGCGCCTCCAGCCAGCAGAAGGGCTGGTGTGTACTGGGACAAACGCTATATTCTCTCTACTATTTATACTTCATTGTTCTTATTTCGTTGTTTATACTTCAATAATTATATACTTCATTATTTATAATTCGTTATTTATACTTCACTGTTCATACCTAATTGTTTATACTTCACTGTTTATACTTCATTATTTATACTTCATTTCGAACTAGAGTTGACATGGAAATACTTCCTATTTGTTGGCTCATCCTGAGGTTAGTGTGTATGTGTTCCAGCTATGCACTGAGGGAAATGAGGGAGTCTTTGTTAAAAAAGCGATATAATTTTCCCCCTTGTGCGGGTTATCTTTACCCAGTTTGGCTGGTGAATGGTCGTAGAGGCCACTGCTGTACTTACCAAAGTAACTTGCACAAAAACTACTTCCACTAAAATGACTTACACGAAAATTACTTATACCAAAATAACTTGTATGGAAAGTACTTGTACGAGAATTACTTTTACGAAAATTACTTAACATAATTTAAATCACTTTTCCTGTTAAGTTTGTGTACTTACATACATTAAAATACGATTTTTCAAGTGTACGAATATTTATTTCCCCCACTGTATAGTGCTTTTAGAAGTGAAGTTCAACAGAAGTGTGCTGTTCGCATTCTTCAGTTAAAACGCGGTTTCATCAATGGTCGGAAACCGCACCAATTAACAAATTTAATGGTCGCCAGTGTTCCACAAAGTTAATATACACCACGAGAAGTGAACACTTTGGCTTTTCAATTAAAGTGAAGTTAAGGTCAAGTTAAAGATATAAATGGAACCCGCCAAACAAAGATTAATAGTTAGGAATTTAAGGTATTGGTCCATTTTAGTTTCACGGTAAGCATTTAATTCTTTAAGAGATCATTATCACAAAGCCTGACGGGCCCGCCAAAGTGTTCAAAAAGGAGGAGACAAAAGCATGCACCAGAAATATAATAATAATTCGGTAAAGGTTGTGCACAACAAAATAATACCATCGTTAGAAGTGAAGAAAATATGGCGCAAAGCAAAGAACAATGGAAACAGATAGGACCGCTGAAAAGCTACTTTTGAGCGCTGCGCCTCTGCCTTATATAGGCAGAGTAATCTCTGCTTCTTCGTAGGAATTAACAAGTAGCCAGGTTGGGAAATTTTCCCAACAAAATCTCAAAATGAATTACTTCGGAAACCAATTGAAAGCATTTTACTATTGATGTTTAAGTCCTTTGCAAAGAAGAATAATTGGATCTTGACTTTCACCTGCACTACCATCAAAGGCAAGCTATCATCATTTACCATCATTCATACCATCAATATTATCATTCATTTCCATGAATGATGCTTCAGTTCCAAGTCGCTGCCCTTCACTCTGAAAAATGAGTGGGACTTTGTCCAAACAGCTGTGAAATTTTTAAACTTGTGTAGGACATTGAGACTCAGTTTGTCCCGGTAAAAGAGGGTATCGGTGCTACGTGCAAAAAGTATAACTATTTAGACATTTTGATCCATACATTTTGTGAGTGTAGCGCCGGTGCCGCTAGACATGCCCGAGTGCAGCGCCAGACTCCAGTGGTGAGCGAGAGCGCAGTCTGATGTGAACCTCGTCTGGATTCGGGTGCACTGTGAACCGGTGGGTGCACTGTGAACCGGTGGGTGCACTGTGAACCGGTGGGTGCACTGTGAACCGGTGGGTGCACTGTGAACCGGTGGGTGCACTGTGAACCGGTGAGTGCATTGTGAACCGGTAGGTGCACTGTGAAACGGTGGGTGCACTGTGAACCGGTAGGTGCACTGTGAACCGGTGGGTGCACTGTGAACCGGAGGGTGCACTGTGAACCGGAGGGTGCACTGTGAACCGGTGGGTGCACTGTGAACCGGTGGGTGCACTGTGAACCGGTGGGTGCACTGTGAACCGGTGGGTGCACTGTGAACCGGTGGGTGCACTGTGAACCGGTGGGTGCCCGGTGAACTGGTGGGTGCACTGTGAACTGGTGGGTGCAGTGTGAACCGGTGGGTGCACTGTGAAACGGTGGGTGCACTGTGATGTCATGGGTCTATTGCTATTATAGAAATGTTATTAATATCAAAACCGTGTTGAGTGCGGGTCTAAACTATGCATTAAACGTTGGCATTTGTTTTCTAACTATTAATATAGAAAAAATCAACGTTTTCTGTTAACAGCGTGCTATGCCTTATATGAGCTTTTTTGCGTTAGAAGATAGTGGCTGAGCCCCATAATTAAAAACTCTTCTTATTAACCACTATGTTTTTTTAAGCTCGTTTGAAATTTGTTCCTCATTTACGTTCCGACTAATGTTTTTTTTCAGATTCGCTGAGTTTCTTAAACAAACATGAAATCATTCTACCAAACGTTCTAATAATCGAGTAAAGATATAGCCAAATAATAAATCAATTATAATCTTACTATAATAACAAACAACTAATAATTCTAAAACATGAGCTGGGATAAAATATAGAATATTCTTTTATCTGGCTGGTCTCACCTAGCTATGACGGCTTCCCCTAAACCGGTTTAAAGGTCCGTTATATCTGTCCAGTACAGTTTTTTTTGCCTTGCAGCAGGTCAATGATGCTTAGCTCATAACTTGCGTGTGTTATGTTTAAAATACGAGAACCATCTCTTCAAAATACTTTACCTGATGAAGCTTACATTTACATTTATTCGCACTGAAATCTGTGAGAGAATTCAAACGTATGGAAGCTACAGAAAAGTATGACTTAAACGATAGTGATAGCATGACTCGATATTCAAAGGAACCTTAAACAAATCAAGATGATGTCATTCATTCATCAGAACATCAGAGTTTGTCTTATGTTCGCAATGACGGCATTTACCGTTGTTTGGCTTTCGACTTTCTCGATTCAACTAGTAAATCCATCACGTCTAGAGAATTATGATCCTTCTATTGAGATGAATAACGATATTGTTCGTGATGAATACCATGGATTTGCCATTCAGGAAGAACAAAATGAAACAAATGAAGTAGAAATTAAAAATTCTTCTAAGGCTCGGTCGAATCCGCTGTCTCATCGTAGAATATCTGAAGGCATTAACTTGGCACCACCGCTGAATGCGTCGTCTGGAAAATCCTCAGCTAAAATTTATACGACTATTCATTATAGGTGAGTTTGGCAAATAGATCTTGAATTGAATATTTTGAATATATACAAATATTGATAGATTAATACACATTCACATAGAGAGAAACCTAAGAAGCAGATATCCAAGCTGATACGAGCCGTAACTTTGCTTTCGCTAGTTCGTTTTATTATATTGAATTTGCCCTACGCTTGCTGTTCAATTGTTGGTTAGATAATTTCATAAGTAATTATTGAATATTTCACCACCATAATCAATCATCACCGATTGCTCCAACTTAGACAAATAAAATTCAATCGCACACTTGAATTCTCGTTTCATATTGCGAGTAACTTTTTAAACTCAAGATGGTCCACTTATACACATTTGGTACAATGCACGCAAATGTGTATTTTTTCTTAAATGTTTTTTTTCATGCACATTTGACAGGACTAAGGTTACATGTTTGATTGCTCTGCACGATTCATTCTCATACAACATTCAGGTTTAATAATCTTAAATAACTTTTTTCCTAATTTATAAATAATTACAACAACTAAGCTTTACTCAGCACTTTATTTCCTTGACAAACATAGTGGTGTCTCGTAGGGCCCCGTCCCCAGACCTGGTCCGTGGGGCGTGGGTCCCGTGGCCCACAGACCCGCGGTGCAGGAACCTGACGGTGCACTTCACCCACGCGGTGCCCCCACGCGCCCTCGCGTCGTTCCCAGGTTCAGGCAACACGTGGGCGCGCTACCTCGTCGAGGGCGCCACGGGCATCCACACGGGCTCCGTNGGCTTTACCTGGCATCATTGTATATTGTTATTATGGGATCAATGTATTATTGTGCTGCATTATTGTAATAATATTATTGGCATTGATTAATATTATACCTATTATTGTTTTTCCTCTTAAAGTGATAAATTAAATGAAAATGATTAAAATATGAATACAATTCCTGACGATATAATCTAAAAAAACAATCTCCGCAGAATGGATCATGTTTATGCGGATGCAGTTGCGTCGCTGGCTGCTGACGGCGCTGCAGTGGCTGACGAAGGGCAGCGACGTGCAGGTGCTGCACTACGAGCTGCTGCAGCACAACCTGACGGCGGCGCTGACGAGCCTCGTGACGACCTTAGGTCTTCCTGCTGACACTCACAGACTGCAGTGCCTTGAGGTCAATAGTCTACTTACGTGAATGACGTGAATGTATTGTATGAGGTCACTTATACACTCACGTGAATGATGTGAATGTGTTGTATGAGGTCACTCATCTACTCGCGTGAATGTGTTGTATGAGGTCACTCATCTACTCGCGTGAATGTGTTGTATGAGGTCACTTATACTCACGTGAATATGTTGCACTCTCCACTCTTCTAAACTCGTGAATACCTTGAATGGCGCCACTTATCTACTCATTCGAATTTATATGACGTCATTCGTCTATTCACTTGAATACCCCGTTCGAAAAATTACCGTAAAACGGTATTAGCGGCATCTCATTGATCAGCAGGCACGTAAAAAAGCATCGTGTTGCCGTTTTTTCCAATTTAACACTAAAACCCGTACAACGTTAAAAAAAACGGCGTAGCTGTTCAATTTCATGGGGCGGCTTGTTAGTTGAACTCTGGTGAGACCGGTTTTTTTCGAAGACTGTAAGTCGTATGAAATCACTCGCCTCCTCAACTGAATAAGTCATATTCCGTCACTCATCTATTAAATCGATTGTTTCTCATGAGTTTTCTCGTTGACACACCTGAATGCATCATAAAAAGTTTCTCACTAATCGTGCTGTGTAGGTTCTGTTCAATGCCAAAAAATCAGGTCGCTCCTATCATAATATTTGCATGTATTTTTTAACTTAGACAAAAACTGATTTGACGATGTTATCTCCTATACTCCCGCTGCCTGAAATTTGTTGATATTATACCGTTATGAAAAATTTAACGAGTTATAAGCTCAGGAAATACATGATCAAGTATTCAATCACATCAACATAAAACCGCATATCTAACCTTAGGAAAACTCGTTCTTTCCCCTTTCGTTAATTTGTCAAAATGAAGCCGCAATATTTCTTAGTATGAGGCCGCAAACCTTGCCGGTAAGTTTCTAATTTTCTAACCGATCTCTGCCTCTTTGCTCCTATTTTAAATTCCGAATTCTAAATAGTGAAAAATCTAGTCAAGAGATAGAAAACTTTGACCTCACACGCTGTTTTTTTCAGACGCACAACCACGTTGCGTTTCGTCGAAAAACGCAATTTCTGCCCGCGAATTTGCCGGTTTTCCCAGCAGGAGTAAGGGACAAGGTAAGATCTTACGCATAGGAAGTGCTTGAATTTGTGTTTTAAAATTAAATATAAACATGCAAACTATAGATTCTATATACACTGGTAAATAAACATTATCGAGCTATATGAATTTATACATGCTCAATTGAAAAAGGAATCCTACATTGAGGTTAGATGCTTGAATTCAGCCCAACTGACTCCTCTCCTCATGGTGGAGGTGAGTCTCGTTCAATCTACTGATTCATCTTCTCTCATTTAATTCACCTATGAATCTGATAATTTATTACTAAATAAAAATCAACAGGTGGACCGGGCCATTCGTTATGTGGATCATCTTCTGACAGAACGCAAGCTCCCTCCTCTGCCCCTGCACCTCTACGAGTTCTACAACCGCACCTCGTCGCACACGGTGAGACTTACACACTATTTTATTATTTTATAACTATGCATTATTTTACTATCGTCTCTTAATAAAGGGGAACCGCTCTCAAAACACGATTTAATAATATCATCATGACTCCTGTAGCTAGAAACCGAAGATGAAAAATTCACGCATTTATTATCAAACTAATCCCGCTACAGATAGAGAGGACCCTTATTCATAATTTTCGCCTAAGTAATAATTTGAACATTTGGTTTATTCCCGCTGCTGATAAGATCGTACGAGTTCCGTGCGAGGCGCAGGCGTCCGATTTCGATTGTGACGTGAAAGTCGACGAACTCAATACGGCGCTGTGAGTACACTAAAAATTAATGGGTATTTTTCTCCAAATAGTGACACACTTTCTGCACGTAGCGCTGAAAGGCCCCTTTGCTCTGCTAAACTCGGTCAGGATAACTCACACAAGGCAGATTATGCATGGATATTAAGTAAGTCTCACTCATTCCTTTGCCCATTTGATGCCCAAACTTGGTGCCCACACTTGGTGCCCAAACTTGGTGCCCACACATGGTTCCCACACTTGGTGCTCAAACTTGGTTCCCACACTTGGTTCCCACGCTTGGTGCCCACGCTTGGTTCCCACGCTTGGTGCCCACGCTTGGTGCCCACGCTTGGTACCCACGCTTGGTGCCCACGCTTGGTGCCCACGCTTGGTGCCCACGCTTGGTACCCACGCTTGGTGCCCACGCTTGGTGCCACACTTGGTGCCCAAACTTGGTGCACGTTCTCGAAAATAAATTAATAAGTATCATGTCAAAAATTATTCAGCTTCAGTATGCATTCTGATTAAAAATATTTTGCTGCGACATGTGATTTACTTGAAATATTTGTGCTACTAGAAGTATTATTTAAATATGCAAAAAGTTAATTAGAACTGTGGGCCAACATGTACTTACAGACAGGCACTGATTTTCTATTAGCATAAGGCAAATAATTGAACGTTTTCCTGACAGGATACGGAAGGCAACTCTCTCTAAACGCGTCTAAGTCATCATAAGAAGTCGTCAGTAAGTTAGTCCAGCAGCCGCGCTAACGGAGTCTGTGGGGTTGAATTTTATAATTTATAGAAGTCTTTGCTTCAGGCGAGTTGTATCGTGTGAGATAAAATTTATTTTATTTGTTTAAGCAGCCCTTGAATAAATATTTATTTATTATTCTTTCTTTATTACACATTTCAAAATCTTACTGCTAGCGATTTGGCAGTTGTTTGGATGTGTGATGTACCTCAGAAGAAATGTTGTGGCCTACATTCTACAATGCTCCACTAACATAATTCTTTAGAATAATTATCTAGAGTAAAAAATCTATTTTGTTTAAGGTGTACGAGGTAGCATATCGTTCTGAATAACACTGTATTCTTCTCGAGCGTCTCTGCAGAAGAAAAGTTCGCACGAAGTTTGAATTCTCGTAATCTCACAGCAGCTTTCTATTTGCTGAACAGGAAGCTACGTTGTGAACTAAGTTATAATAATAATAATAATAATAATAAAAATAGCGGTTTCAGTGTTTATTAGGCCGTAGGCCTGCCGCCGAATTTAACATCGCAGAACATTCACAGCATTTTGCGGTCTCGAACTCGCAACTCACTACTGCAATTCTGCTGTGCTTAACCGCCCAGCCTCCTCGCCGATTCTGACCAGAAATTGGCGCACAGAGCTGGGATCGAACCCGCGCCTCCCTGCACCAATCTTGGTACTCTGAACTTCAACCACTGGATATCCCCGAACTTTAAACTCACTAAATAGAAAGGAGTCGACAAGGAAATAGTTATCATTTGCTGGTGCGATCTTGCAGTTGTAAGTGGTTGGTCACTGCGCTGGAGGAGTCCTGGGTAGATGGAGCTCTCAGTCTGACTCTGACACCCGCGTTAGTTGCCGGCTGGCATCCGGTGTGCGAAGTTTAAAGTTGTAGTTTACCGTGCAACTGTAACTCAGAAATGTGCTTTGTAAAAATCAATCTGACAGCATTAATACGACAATTAGTTTACAGTAAAAATAATCTAGCGAAGATTTATTATCTTGCCGTGAGATTATCAAAGTCTGTCAGCTATCAGGGGTGTAGTGTAGTGGCTTATGACTAGTTTGCATAGCAATTGAATCGTCTAATTCAAAGTTCGGTTGCGTTCTATTACGTTAAACATATACAAGTAATCGAAGGTATGTCCGACCAAATTCTGAATTTTCCCATATTTTTATCTTACTTGTGAATTCAGTGGAAATTTAACTGAAGTATGCAGGAACCGAACTTTAGTGTTCAACTCCCAATGGATGTCGACCAGATAATAACATTCTAGAAAATGAAATTATATTTACTCGAAAAAATTAAATTGAACTTTAAAAATTAAATTTTTTAGTGTTGTAGATCGACAATCAGGCACTTCATTTGATCTTATAGCATAGAAATATGACATATAAAGCTACAACCGGTAGCTTAAGTAAAATTGGACTGACGAACCTCCAAAAAATAACAAAATTTTTGGTAAAGTAGACATATGTGCTCGAGAGATACTTTGGTTTGAAAGTTATGGATCAAAATGACTTGCTCTTTTAAAATGTATTCATCAAAATTTTCGAAAGCCTTATACTTATTTTGTGGTTAGAGCACTGAAAAATAATAACGAGTGATGGAAAATTATTTTCGAGGTTCGTTCTCTTCACTGAATTTAAAATTTAATGAAGTCAAGTTTCTGCTGAATTATTCTTCCTTGATAATTATGTAAAAAATGAATGACCACAACCTTTGAAAACATTAAGAATATTCAATCATCATTCAACTTCAACCATAGAAAACAGATCAAGGAACCAAATTCTCTCATGTAAATTACAAGCAGTGAACTTAAAGTTAAATACTGCCTATAGAATCATTTTAACCCTCTACCACCTGACATGAGTAACCGGAGCAATATTCTAAGGATACGTTCTAGTGAGCGCAAAATGACTTGCACTGATGGTTGCCGCCACGTACAACTTTAAAATGTTCTCTGTTGCGTACAAACGTCTTAATTTCAGGTTGCTACACTCAATAGTTTACGTATAATTTAAGTTGAAGTTATGTTCCCGGAGAGTGACATACGGCGGTAGAGAGTTAATGGAAACTGAATAGTTATGACAGCGGTAGCTGAATAGCACCACAAAGGTAGCTGTATAAAACCATAATGAACCATATGAAACCATAACTGTATCTTAGCTAAATAACAGCATAATGGTAGGTGAAAAACATCGCCATGGGAGCTAAATATCATTCTAATGGTAGCTGAATGCCATCTCAACAGTAGTTAGATAACGCTAACCACAACGGTTACCTGAATATTATTCTAATGGTAGCCGAATAACTGCACGATAGTAGCTAGCTAAATACCTCCCCCCACCACCACCTTCTTCTATATGCAGCGCATGAGGAACGCTAACTTAAACGTCCGTCAGCTGTTAGGGGGAGGAAAGCAGGACATGTCAACAGCGCTACATAAACACGGAGCATTATTGCGTCCACTCGACTACTGCTTCCGCATCACGCATTTAGTGAACGAAACAATGTGAATTCTTATATCTGATTTTACAAAAAAATTGTATTTCCAGTACTGAAATAAAGTTTCATATTTTTTTTTTAATTTGAATATTTGATAGAAAATACAATTTTAACTTTTATTTAATATAATATAAGAATATGAAAATTCACGAAAACCCAGAATGTGAATAGTAGAAGGTCAACCAGACATTGAAATGAACAGATAATTTCTGAGGTTGTAGAATTCCCACGAGTCTTGTTTTTCTTGAATCAATTTGCCTGATTAACACAACGCAATTAATAATGATAACTGAAGTCATTCATATTAAGTACTTATATTATCAGTCTGCTTATATCGCAAGTTGACGAGGAATTTAAAAGCAAAGAAAACGCCAAGAAAATTCACCATATCGATATTGAAACCGTTTCGGAGTCCAGCTCCATCATCAGTTCGAAAAACTAAAAAAGTTTTTTAGTTTTTTTTTTAGTTTTCAGTTTTTCGAACTGATGATGGAGCTGGACTCCGAAACGTTTTCAATATCGATATGGTGAATTTGCTTGGTGTTTTCTTTGCTTTTAAATTCATTCATATTAATAAATGGTGCTGTCCAACCCACATTCAGCGTGGAACTACAATATTACCCATTTCTAGTAACTTTATTTGGAAATGAAAGAAAACGCTAATTTGTCCTGAATAAATAAAATTTTCGATAAAAATTTCAAAACCTTCCCATCATTTTTTGGTTCCCAAGACTTGCGGCTGGAAAAAAAATTAGATCGATGCTATGTCCCGACACGATAAGCATGGTGGAAACACACCGAACAGCCCCTATACATTTGTAACGCAAATCTGCACACGTACTAAATCACAAAGTTACCCAAATAAGTAATAGGTCTAAACCAATTCAAAATACCCATGTTTTTAAGGCAATTAAATATGCTTTGAACATCGTTGCAAATTCTATCATGGAAACAGTGACGTATCATTTCAATAATAATAATAAATCGACCACGCCATCCACCACTGTACAATTTATATGTATAAGTTTTTCAATTTACCCACTTACATGTATTCTTGAAACATCAAAAGTTTAAATTAGTTAACAAAGGTGGAAAAGTAAACGTGTGATGTTTTCGTAAAGCTAGGCAGAAGTTGTTACTAATATTTCGGTATAGCTAGGTAGAAGTTGTTACTAATGTTTTGGTATAGCTAGGTAGAAGTTGTTACTAATGTTTTGGTATAGCTAGGTAGAAGTTGTTACTAATGTTTTGGTATAGCTAGGCAGAAGTTGTTACTAATGTTTTGGTATAGCTAGGTAGAAGTTGTTACTAATGTTTTGTATAGCTAGGTAGAAGTTGTTACTAATGTTTTGGGATAGCTAGGTAGAAGTTGTTACTAATGTTTCGGTATAGCTAGGCAGAAGTTGTTACTAATGTTTCAGCGTAACTAGGCAGAAGTTGTTACTAATGTTTTGGGATAGCTAAATAGAAGTTGTTACTAATGTTTCGGTATAGCTAGTCAGAAGTTGTTACTAATGTTTTGGTATAGTTAGACAGGAGTTGTTCTTTACTACAGGTTTTGTTGAAGACCAGAAATATGTGAGTAATATACTTCGTGTCTCTGCCTCGCAGATAACGCTAATGAAGTTGGTCCAGGTTCCTTTCTTCGCGCGAGCGCCGCTCAGTAGCTTGGCTGGTATCAGGTCACGATTTGGGCTGGCCATTGTAGCTTTTTGTTTGTTCATTAGCCTTACCTTCATGCATAGCCGAGAGCTGTTCTCAAAGTCTAACAATCATGAACAAATGTCACTTAATTTGGTTGATCATAAATTTCAAAGTTCAGAAGAATTCAACGCGAAAGTTGAGACGACGTTAAGTCATTCGTCTATGAACCCAAGAAAAATTTCCACTGTCGCTCCTCAGCAGCGTCCAGCCACGGCTGCTGAAATTTCTATTGCAAGGTAAGACGTCAATTATTAGCCTTGTGTCTTGCGAAAAGATGCCGAAATTTGAAATAATTTGCCCAATTTGAACTGGAACCTTTGGTTCAGTTTCGAAAACCTCTCTTATAAAAGAAATCTAGTAAAAAACAAAAAACGTATATGCTGAGTAAAATAAAGATTAGAAATTATTTCTTTTGACGGAAGAGAATCGAAGAAGACAATATATCAAACTTGATGAATCAACTGATTTCAAAAGTCAGTTTTACTAAAGAGTATTCAAGATGAAGCTCTGTCCATAAAATAGGTCGAACTCACTGACTTTGTCTCCTAAAATTTGTAAGAAAGTCTTGAAAAAGGACAAACTTTTTCAGATGTCAAAAATGCTCAGTGATGCCATACTGACCGTTTCATTTCGACGACGAAAAATTTTTTCGAACCATGATTTCACTTATATCAGTGTTTTCGGTTGACATACTTTCCATGGTCCCCAGTGATCGAAGATCTGCCAGCTACCATATCAACGTTGAATCGACATAATTATGAAATTTCCATTATTTAAAACAAATCCCCATATTTTTCCACGATCTTAAAGCCAATATTAGAAATTTCTTTTGGCATAATTCCATTAAACAGTCGACATTTTAGAAAAAAACTAGTTAGTTCATTTTGACAATGCCTTTGTCATACATCCTGTTCACATCTTATAGTTCTAAAGCAAAAACAATTGTACCAAATTTTAGCAAAAATAAACCCGAAGTTCTAATAGAATTTCAGCGAATTTTTAATCAAACCGTTCTTAAATGTCAGCGTGAGTTGTTGCGTTTTAAAACCGCCTGATGAACTTATGTACATAATGAATATTTTCGGAATTACTTTCTCTGTTGGCTTGTGTTGTGGCTTTTATTTCAGCGCTGTCATTTTTTTCGGTGCGCTGTAATTACTTTTCAGAAGTTTCTCCTATGACGATGACTTGCAGAAACAATTAGCCTTCTAAAGCCGCTGTTTCCAAACACAAAAAGTAGACTAGGCGTGGAAGAAAACTGGTTTGCAATCAGTAGCGAACATTCCCGATCAAAGCGCTTCAATCCAGAGAATTTAAGAATTATAAATGTGTGAGTGACTGGAGTGAGAGGTCAATATGGTAGTTAATTTAGGCTTTGTATTGGACGCTTACTGTTAATAAGTTATAATAAAATATTCAATGTAACAAATGTAGAATTGGGTTTACAAGTTCGAACGATCATTGTAAGTGGTCACAGGTCCTACTAATAATTTGTAATAGAAAGGTAGTATACCTTGCCTTCATGTATGCTTTACGTTTTACTATCAATTCGTTAACAATGATGAAATGCTATAGTGATGAAACGTGACAATGATGAAAGGCGTCAACGATGGAATGCGTCAATGATGAAATGTGTCAATGATGAAATGCGTCAATGATGAAATATTTCAAGGGTCCCGTTCCGTTTGCATGTGCCTCACCGTAAAATGGAAAGCGAACTGAACGTGACTTAATTCAGAACATGTGCGTGCCTTGCTCTGGTTAAGAAAGCTATCAGCAGCAACGAACACATAGCTAACTAAATCAATTAAACTGGGTTTTGATTAGCCGTAAACAGCACACAACTATGTAAACAGTAGAACTACACATTACCATTCTAGTACACACTAGAATGGTATCAATTAACCTGGCTTGTGTGTGCTGTAACATAGGCTGTGGATTGTTTTTTTTTTCTTGCTCCAATAAACCAAGGAATTTGGAAAATGTCAAATATACTCAAGTTTTTACGCGATTAGAAAAATTATTCTTTGAAAGTTTCTATTAGTTCTCATTTAACTTCACTAATTTAGTGATGTCGCTTATGAGTTCTCATTTAACTTCACTAATGTAGTGGTGTCTCGTAGGGCCCTGTCCCCAGACCTGGCCCGTGGGGCGTGGGCCCCGTGGCCCACAGACCCGCGGTGCAGGAACCTGACGGTGCACTTCACCCACGCGGTGCCCCCACGCGCCCTCGCGTCGTTCCCAGGTTCAGGCAACACGTGGGCGCGCTACCTCGTCGAGGGCGCCACGGGCATCCACACGGGCTCCGTGTATCTCGACGAGGAACTTTCTGTTAAAGGTTTCTTTCTATTCGGTTTGATTTTGTTCAATGAAATTGATTGTCATTGTATCCATATTAGCTGATGATTGTACATTTGTCATTCCAAGATCTCAATTATTAAACGTTGCAAAACCTTTATTATACTTGATAATGAACAATTTTTATTCGAAACGTCATAATACCACACAAAATTAGATCGGTACTCACTGCAGTGAGTGACAGAGAACGCATTTTATCGCCCGTCCGTGAAGTCACGGACAAACGGACGGGCGGACATGACTAGCACAATAGCGCCTTTTTTCATTATTGAGAAAATGCGCTAAAAATGCACCTAATAAATCCTAGATATTCAAACTTTCAAATCCTTCCAATCTTAATTCTCCAAATTGAGGAAAACAATAGAATTGTTGGCATGAATACTCTCTGGCCTTCAACAAAATCCGCATTAAATTGATTTCTATGTAATTTCATAGTATAATATTCCTTATCTTTCGTTCATAACGGTAAAATTATTCTACATAACAATCTGCCATAACAATTTCAACAAAAAATATTCGAAGTTTTCAAGTGCAAGACTTATAGTTCTGTCCCAACTGGCAATAGTAAAGAATTTAATTTGGCAAATAAATGCCAAAACCATTTGTCTTAGGGAACCATAATGAGTAGGATTTAAAAACCTGTATAATAAAGTCCTCTTCGTATGATATATATCTCTCAATTAGTTCTAACTGTTCTAAAGCCATTTGCACCCCTAGAATAAAAATCTTCTCGTAATTTTCTGTTTCCGTGGGTAACTTCAATAAAAATTAATTTGATGTCCTAGTAAAACTCACTTCATATACTTATGTGAAATGAGTGAAGAACCTCAGCTCGGAAGAACAATGAATAATGACCGATGAATTTATTGATTCCGGATGAACATTTAACATGAATTACTAAGACTGAGGTTGTGAGCCGTTGATGTCTTCGTATCGCAAACGACCGCTCATGCGATGAGTTAGGATCCGCTCATGCAGCGGATCCTTAGGAACTTAATTATAAATCGGGATTTCTGCGCAAGCAGTAAAACTAAGTTACGCAAATGCGATTTGCAGGAGTAACATTTAAATCTGACGAGCAGTTATGAGATGGATTAGTAATTTTGTTGATCAGATGTTAATTATGTGACCACTAATTTCATATGATTGCGATGTTGTTGAAGATCAGAGAGCTTCCGTTGAATATAAATTTTGTTTTGAATATGAAAATGAAAATAGAATTCAAACGTTTTTTATTTACAAGGTTTCAATTGATTATCATATATTTTGATGTGCTCTAAATAGGAATTTTATTTAAGATCAAAAATCACTTATATGGACAGGTTACAGAGGCGAAAAAGAGGCCTGGAACAGCGGCACCACAATACTCCAGAAGACCCACGAGTATCAGGACCAGACAATATCTCTGTTCAAAGGACGTGTGGTGCTCATAATACGCAACCCTTACCGCGCCATCCTCTCCTACCACAACTTCAACGCTGGCGGCCACCGAGGGCATGGTTCCGTTACCGATTACAGACGCAGAGGTTACTACACTCAGAAAAATTGAGACATATGGTTCAAATAGCGATACACTTTATGGCAGAGGTCACTACACTCAGAACAATTGAGACATATGGTCCAAATAGCGATATACTTTATGGCAGAGGTCATTTCACTCAGAACAATTGAGATATATGGTCCAAAATAGCGATACACTTTATGGCAGAGGTCGCTTCACTCAGAACAATTGAGACATATGGTCCAAATAGCGATACACTTTTAACACATTTTAGCCTGGAAAAAACGACGTATCAGTGTTGCGCGCATAATTCATTTTAGTGAGTCATTTACCCGTTTTCATTTCACATAATTAACCCATTCATTTTGGTGAGTGTAAAGTGACCGCGAGTATTGATCAGGCCTCGTTAAATGACTCACATAAATTATATTAACTTATTTAAGTCATTTCTCGGACGAGAGTCTGTTTACACGCACCCGCGTACTTTTTGTAAAAGCATATCATTTTAGACGACTAGACTAGAAAATCAAACGTCAGTTATACTCACATCATAATCTTGTTCACTCATTAATTGAACGAACCAAATAATGACCTAAAGCATAACGTGAGGACTGTGATGGGACGGTCTGTAGACGTCAGGACTGTGATGGGACGGTCTGTATACGTGGGGACTGTGATGGGACGGACTGTAGACGTCAGGACTGTGATGGGACGGGACGGTCTTTAAACGTGGGTAGTGTGATGGGACGGTCTGTAGTCGTGGGGACTGTGATAGGACGGTCTGTAGACTGGGGGACTGTTATGGGACGGTCTGTATACGTGGGGACTGTGATGGGACGGCCTGTAAACGTGGGGATTGTGATGGGACGGTCTGCAGACGTGGGGAGTGTGATGGGACGGTCTATAGACCAAGTGGCTGTTATGGTTCCATCTTTGGAATATTTAGAGGGATATTTATGTTTGATGTCTCATTTAAGAAGATAGCTGCGTTAGTCTAGTGGCTGATGATGTCAAGATGGTGAGAGACCAAATAGTGTCAGTATACTGTGCATTGTAACTGTTTAAAATTATTCAAGTGTCATGATATATTGTGTAAAAATAATGATCGAAAGCGTTTAAAAATTAAATTTAAAATTAACAAAAAATTTAAATTCAATTTATTTATAATTATTGAAAAAATTAAATTTATCTGGCTGGAGGCATTACTCGACATTATTGTATATTGTTATTATGGGATCAATGTTTCATTGTGCTGCTTTATTGTAATGATATTATTGGCATTGGTTAANATTGTATATTGTTATTATGGGATCAATGTTTCATTGTGCTGCTTTATTGTAATGATATTATTGGCATTGGTTAATGTTATAATATATATGTAATAGAGCATTGTCTTTTCCTGTTAAAATAATATTCATGTTTGAATGAAAAATTAGTAAAATACGAATACAATTTCTGACGACATAATCTCATGAAATAATCTCCGCAGAATGGATCATGTTTATGCGGATGCAGTTGCGTCGCTGGCTGCTGACGGCGCTGCAGTGGCTGACGAAGGGCAGCGACGTGCAGGTGCTGCACTACGAGCTGCTGCAGCACAACCTGACGGCGGCGCTGACGAGCCTCGTGACGACCTTAGGTCTTCCTGCTGACACTCACAGACTGCAGTGCCTTGAGGTCAATAGTCTACTTACGTGAATGACGTGAATGTATTGTATGAGGTCACTTATACTCACGTGAATGTGTTGTATGAGGTCACTCATCTACTCACGTGAATGTGTTGTATGAGGTCACTCATCTACTCACGTGAATGAGTGCATTCTGCACTCATTTACTCGCGTCAATGTGTTGCACTCCAAACTAATTTAGCAATCCAATAAATCGTATGATAAACAGGTGAAATTAGGGCAGAAATTTTTTTAAATTAACTCATTTCATCTTGAAATAATTAAATTATGAATAAAACTAAGTATATCGTAAAATTATCATTGTAAAAGGTACTGACCCCCATAAATAAAATCATTTATGTTTTTGTTTATAGATATTTCGACTGATTATTTGACATGCGCTCGCGAGCAGAAGTACAACTCTGGGTCGTTCCAAAGGGAGCAGCAATTCTTCCCTGCTGATGTTAAAATATTTCCGTCGGACCTCCGTCGTTTGGTTAGTATAACAGTCAACTTGAATTTTCCCGAACATAACGTTATCAAATTTCAATTTATAACTTTTACTTCTCTTATAAAAATGTCTTTATATTGCTGGTCCATGAATACCTGGTTCCCAACACCGTTCGATGTTGATAAATAATGAAATTCGTTCCCGTTGTTCCGTTTATGTTAGGTGGATCGCGCCATCTTGTACGTAAACAACCTTCTGATGAAACGAAAGCTTCCGTTAATGCCTATTCATCTTTATGAGTTCTACAATGGCAGTGTACCGCAATCGGTGAGATCATTTCACTTCTTTCCAACGAAATTTTCATGCCGAATTGATTTTTTTACAAAGCCTCGAATTAACCTTCTTTTATTCCATCTATCATCTATGCCACTTTTCTGCAGTAGATGAAAATTGATCAAATCATCTACAATTTATCCTCTGAAATATGCATCTGGAAATTCTCCTTCACGCAAACTTCCTTCGTCATAACTTTAAATGACTTGTGCAGAACCATATCATGATATATAAAATAATCTATATTTCGATATGGCTGCAATCAGACTGCCGCTATAAGGCTTAAAATGTTATTGATTTTACAGATAATTCGTCACACCTGCCAGACGAATCTTTCTCAGACTCAGTGCGACGCTCTCATCGACGATATGAACAGGACGAGGTACTTTAAATCCCCATCATATACTTATAGTTTCTTATTTAATTGTGTATAGTATTCCTCACTGGAAATGAGAAATTGAGCAGAAGCTTTTCGATTTTATATGCTCGCTTTAAATGCTTTCCAATATTTCTTCAAATACTCTATTTTTTTAAATCGCCGAGGTGGCCAAAATTTAATAGCAAAATAAGATTAATGAGTTTTGGTTTTGAAACCATGGCAAGCTGTACAAATTCTGCAATTTCTAGAATCAGCAGCAGGGCATGTCTGCCCAAATGTAGGCTGACACTACAATAAAGGCTTACACTACTATATATATAACTGTGTTGAAAATAGAGATAGATTTGCCTACCTGTCAACCAACGTTCAGGTTTATAGCTGTACAGAGCTGTGGTTAAAAACGGATTTACTGCAGTTGTTGCGGTTTAAAAAATGAATGAGCTTTCAAAATACTTATGCAGTCTTTGCAGTTAATGATGCCAATAATCATGACGAAAATAGCAAGTTAGCTGCAGGTTAGCACACATACTCACCCAAATACTGAAGTATTTTCCTGTGTATTTATCCCAAATACTGATTTATCTTCCTGTATATTGATCCCAAATATTGAAGTATCTTCCTGTGTATTTATCCCAAATACTGGAGTATTTTCCTGTGTATTTATCCACACTTTATGTGCAATTAAGTCGGTACATCTGGAGGGGATTGAAATGAACCATTTTAAATAATTGGATCCTTAATTAATTAGGGTAACATGGGGCAGAGGGACCACTGCGGGTCACGGGCCCATAGCGGGTTTCTCGCTAAGTATGGCAGATATTGGTCCGTGTTCTCTACCGCCGGTCGAAAGTTTCACTGGGATGAAGTGTACGGATTTACGTTGTGCTAAGAGTTTGCGATATTAAGTTATTTGTAAATAACTGTTTTAGCCCAGATAAAATTTTTTTTGCTGCTAAATAATACTGTTTTCGATTACTGTAGATGAAGCTTTTGAAATTACTGTGAATTATATGTTGAAAGTAATATTTATAGGGATAATTTTGAGATCAATTTTAGACTATTAGCTTTTAAAATAAAATGTTGGCACGATATAACTTGAAATGATCCCTAGTGGGGCAACGGGCTAATGCGTGTCACGGGGCAAAGCGTCCATGGTGGGCTCAATACCCCTCAGTGAAGTCTTGTGTTATACATCATTAGATTTGTCTCAATGACCTTTTCAAAACTATGACCAGCTTTTTGAATTACAAATTACACTTCATTTTGCATGATTTTTTTATTTGCCGCCTCAAGGCAGCAGGTCTAGTTTCTAGTTATGCGTATTTATGACCCCTTATCGAGTTATTGCCAAAAGTTGATTTCAGTCAACACCAATGAGCCAAAAGTTGACGAGTTTTTATGGTGTTGGCTGAACTCACGATTAGGTACGAATTCTCTGCACATAATATTTGGATTATGGACGAAACTGGAACGAAGTTTTTTTCTGACCAACTAAATATATTTTTTCTAGTCAAGGATACATTTTTCATGTCAAGGACGAATTTTTTATCGCAAAGATATATTTTTCAAGTCAAGGATATATATTTTTATGTTAATGAAATATTTTTCTGCACGTCAGTGATAGATTTTTTAAGCCAAGAGTATATTTTTTTCAAGTTAAGGAAATGATTTTTTGAGTTGTTAATAAATAGACGAATGTCATATTTTTTATTACATTTTTCTTATTTTTAACTGTAAAGTGTTATTTTATCATTTTTAAACGAATAATATGCAATTGTGGCAAAGGGACCAAGGGTGGTCGCCTTGCCCCAAGCCCATAGGCCCATTGCCCCAGGGGTGGGGCAATGGGCCCATTTTGACACTTTTTACATAAATAGTGTTTCATTAAAAATTGAATAACTCTATAGGCGTCTAATTCACATCATACATTCCTCATTAGTTGTACCTTTAAACAAAACAAAGAACCACCTCGTATCCATTAAAACTTCATAAAAAATTTAGTTTAAAAAATGGGGGGCGCTGCCCCATGTTACCCTACTTACAGAACGTATCGGGATAATTTTGATTTAGGTTTGGGGAAACCTTTTGCATAACCTATAAAAAATTAATATGTGATAACTATGGTACAATAAGGGTAGATAACAAAGATAGAATGAATATTGCATAAAAAAAATTACAAAACAGGCAACAATTGAGTGCGAGTGACTCGTTTTTTAAGTACTAACTTATTATTACCTTCGTTTTTTAGCTATATTTCTGTTCATGCATAATTGCATTGTAATTGCACATAATTTCGTTTGGGAGCGTCGTTGTCGTAAGGCAGGCTTGTTACTGAACATTGAACCATTTATCACTCTTGGGAGCGATTAATCACCAATATATTGGGAGCGATCATCAGCACTAGCTTGGGAGAGATTCATCACCTTCTGTTTTGAATGGGTTTATCGCCACCAGCTTTGAATCAATTCATCAACCTTAGTTCTGGAGCAATTTATCACCCTTACCCAGGGAGCGATTCATCGCCCTTAATTTTGGAGCGATGCATCGCTCATATCCTGGGAGCGATTCATCTCCCTTTGTTTTGAATAGATTTATTGCCACCAGCTTCGGAGCAATTCATCACCCTTAGTTTTAAAGCGATTTATCACATTATTCTGGGGCCGAGTCATTACCCTTAGTTTTGGAGCGATTTATCACCCTTATCCAGGGAGCGATTGGTCACCCTTAGTTTTAAAGCGATTTATCACCTTTATCCTGCGAGCGATTCATCACCCTTACATAATTTTGAAGCGATTTGTCACCCATAACTCGAGCATGACTTATAACCCTACGATAAGGGCCTTCCGATTGATAGATTCGTACATGAAGTTCGAATGCTAAAAATTCATATTCATGAATATGAATATGAAATATTCATGCTAATTTCGCTCCATTGTATTTGACAACCCTGGGTGGGTCGTCCTGACCCATTTTGGCCCGGTAAAAGGGCGTATTAGTGATCGAACTAAATTCCTACTGAACTGGGTGCTAAATTGTATCGTTATTTGGATAATATTTTGTTATTTTCATTTTCATTATATATGAAACAATATACAATATATAATTCATTTTTCAGAGACTATCCGTAATCCTTTTGCGATTAAGTTAATCCAGCAGGCACATTGATTATACATATTCATTTTATTTTCACCAGTTCAAAATAATTTTCTATTTGTTTGGAATTTTTTAGAAAAGCATAGCATTGCAAATTTTGTGATTTTATTATCGTTAGATCAATGATTTTTACATCGATCAGAATCAATCTGCTTACCTAATATATTATAATGCAGTTCATACACCCAGGGTCTTCTGGATCTCATCACACTGTTTATCCTAGGCCAGGATCTCATCCTGATGTAGAATTTTATTCTACTTATCTCGACCTTGCAGGGCGTTCCAACATCCCTTCATATTGTCAGCCCACGATTACCTCAACGACTTGATCAACGGCGTGGGTCGAGACCACCTCCAGGGGATCAAACTCTCTGCTCCGGTAGAGGATCTTTTCACGTCGGCCCCAGAGTTTGAAGTGAACTCTCAGCTCCGGTAGAGGATCTTCTCACGTCGGCCCCAGAGTTTGAAGTGAACTCTCAGCTCCGGTAGAGGATCTTCTCACGTCGTCCCCGGAGTTTGAAGTGAACTCTCAGCTCCGGTAGAAGATCTTCTCACGTCGTCCCCGTAGTTTGAAGTGAACTCTCAGCTCCGGTAGAGGATCTTCTCACGTCGTCCCAGGAGTTCGACGTGAACTCTCAGCTCCAGTAAACGATCTTCTCACGTCGATCCCGGAGTTTGATATGAACTCTTAGCTCCGGCAGAGGATCTTCTCACGTCGATCCCGGAGTCTGATATGAACTCTCAGCTCCGGTAGAGGATCTTCTCACGTCGGCCTTAGAGTTTGAAGTGAACTCTCAGCTCCGGTAGAACATCTTCTCACGTCGTCCCCGTAGTTTGAAGTGAACTCTCAGCTCCGGTAGAGGATCTTCTCACGTCGTCCCAGGAGTTCGGCGTGAACTCTCAGCTCCAGTAAACGATCTTCTCACGTCGATCCCGGAGTTTGAAGTGAACTTTCAGCTCCAGTAAACGATCTTCTCACGTCGATCCCGGAGTTCGACGGTTTAACAATTTCTGTGAAGAGCTTGCATCCCGTATTAAAGTGCCAAAAAAAGCCATGTAAATGCACCAGAATTTCATTGAAAACTTTTCGGAATCCAGCACTTTAATCAGTTTAAACGTTAGAAATCTGATTGTCTTCTTTCAAACTTCTTGAACTTTTGAACGGATGAGATAACTGTTTGTAAAAAAGTTGTTCAGATAATTTTTGTGTACTTATTGAACTTTTTTCAATTCTGTGGTTAATCTGCAATTTATTCCAACTAATGATCTAATTTCTTGGATGCATGTAGTCACCTTCACCGCTTGTGTCGAAATTTAGATAGTAATATTGAAATATACTTTTGTACATAAAAATATCAACTCCAGCGTCAAGCAAGAGGGGAATTATGAGGAGATTGTTGAGGAACGTATAAGAGGGCATTTAAATAAGAGCCGTGTTAGGGCAAGATAAGCATTTTGGACGAACATTAGTGTCTTCGGTAACGGAAAATCAACAGGTTTTCAAATGCTAGTATTGGTTCTAAGCCATTAGATGCTTTCAGAGTACTTATCCTTCGATTTCCTACAAACATGTCTATTTAAACATCATAACCTCGTAAAACTTTTAAATCCTTTGTTCATTAAACTTTTGATATGATGTGGTAGCTTTCATACACCCACGCTACTGTCTTCGCCAAAGAGAGACGTAGAAAGTGCCGGCGAAAGTTTTCTGGTAACATGTTAACGGTTTACTAAGTCGTGTACAGCAACTAGTTTAGTTGGTGGTGTCTTGTGCCTCAAAATTAATTTATTAATTAATTTGATTGTTGTATACTATCATTCATTCATTCATATCTCACTTCTAGAGATACATTTAGCCTCGCTTGCGATTCCGTTCCCAAAAGCATTCTTGAGTATCCAAATCGCAGGCTGGATGTAAAAAATTATTTTTGACGTGTTAACCAACTTAGAAGTGAATAAAATTAATGTTTCAAACCAATCCAAACTAACCACAAACGTGAAGCATGGTTAGATCATTTGAATGCTTTCTCCAATGCTCAAGAATCTTACTGTGACTTCATTCAGAACTAAGGCAGAAATTCGGCAAGGAATCTTTATAACAAGATGATAGATTTGAGGGTCATGATATTGATGGCTCATAGATTTCTGTTTATGCAATTGCTAAGTGGAAGTTAGGCCAAGCTTGCCATCACTGACTTGGCTGTAATCACTGGTTCCTTGACTCATGTCCCAAAAGAAAACAACAACGAAAGATAATTTTACTATAATAATTTTCTTTACAAATCGTATAATTTTTCTTCAATTTACAGAAATATTACAAGTGTCGTTCCTCTAGTGTTTGGAAGAGTTAAGGCTTATAGTTCAACGTATTCTAAAGGAATAAATGCTTCATTATAAGTCTACATATTTAGTCGTATGTGTCGTATTGATTACATGTCAAACTTAACGCTTATAATGTAGGAATATACTGGCATAAGGGTCGGTACAGCGCCCCACAATCCATGGCTTCCAGCCCATAGCCATCATCAAGACGTAATAGCAAACATTTCCTTTTTTCTTGGTCTGGAGACTCCGTTTGAACCTCTGAAAAATTATCGTTCACAAAATCACCGTGGTTAGGGCCAATTTCATTTTGCTGCATCGCCGAAGATGAAGCCAAAAGTGAGTTAGAGAATTGTAGTCCTCCTTTATACCCACTATACTCGCCTGTTATCCACTTTAGCTTAACTCTGGACTCATTTGTGTCGGCGTCACTCGAGCGGATGCTCGTTTTGGCCCCCAGCCAGAACCCTTGTCTGGAATGTGCATGCAAGGACCGGACGACTTTGTTCACATCTTCCGTCGCCGGCAGGACGGCCAGGTCTCCATCATATGACCTACACAGGGCGCGGGCCTGCGTCCAGTTGTAGGCAGTGGTTGGGGATACGGGAGATGTTGGAGCGAAACTCGCATCGTAGTGGACAGGCGGCAACGGCACCGGCGGGACGATGGTTGGGACTTTCAAACACAGTCCTGCGATTGCGGTGAAGTGCTGGGGACAACCGTCAGTACCCTGGGGAGGAGAATGAAGTGTTGAAAAAGGAGACGGGATTGTGTCGTTGCGTGGGATAAATGAATATTCAGTGAGTAGAAGAGAAATAGACTATTGAACCATTTTTCGATTGGTTCGAACTTTCATTGTTCGTTGTTGTTGTTTGTGCAGTGTTGTCAAAAACGAGGAAATTCGATGGCGAAATCAGTTGAAAATGCGTTGGCGCTTTAAAGAATTCGTGCACTGTGTAGCGTCTCCTGGAGTGTGTGCAGTGTGCACGCAAGCGCCTTTTTAATCGCTCACAGCGTGATTCTCATAAAAGGAAAATATGAGCTTCATGAGTGTCAACTGACCTTTAATCACTTATCAGCCAGCGCAGTGTTTTGATCAGGAAGTTGACGTTACTTCCAGTAACGCTACCCTCGCCTAAAGATGAACTGACCTGCCTTATGGCTGTCTTGATCTGTGCGGTTGACCGCTTGAGGGCTGCCGCGACGAAGTCGTTCGTGTGATGTCCCGTCGCCACCGCCGCGGACGACACGCTGGTCACCGAGGCGTCCGCAATCTGTACGTTAGGAGGTCAGAGTTTAAAATTTCGTTTTCAATATGATTTTCGTGATAATAAGAATCATAATGAACTGTGTTAGAATAGAATAGAAGTGTCGGCACTGAAGAAATAGGCCCATGGCCTGTTGCCGATTCTTGAATTTTTCGTGACTTGATTCACAAGGGATCCGGCCTTTGGAACCCGATCTTTCCATAACTGACGATTATTGTATGCTTCAATGAGTTCCCTACGCAGACGTCGATAACTGAGGCTAACTACTTGGCTTTGGCTTAGATTTTGAGCTGCGCGAACATCGCAAAACTCCGTATTTCCATGTGCTCTGTGAGTGCTTGATATGGTTTATTGCTACCCCCACCTGAATAGTGGCCACCCTCTCCTGAATAGTGACTATTCTCTCTTGAATAGTGACTATACCCTCATCTGAATAGTGGCTACCCTCACCTGTAGGGCGATATTCCTCGCCTCGTGTAGGGCGTCAGTTGCTGTGTTTGCCACGGTGGCAGCGATGGCAGCGGTTATGGCAGATTCTGAATTCCCGATGGCAGCCTCAAACTGAAATAAAGATAAATTAAAGATGAATAAACCTTTTCTGATGAATTAAGCGGTTCAGTGAATTAACCGGTTCTGTATTCACCACGCAGCTCGCATAAAGTTACTTTCCTCGCACCTGAAAAGTAAAATAAAGTTTTTTCATATTGTCATATCAAGAATTGATTGTTCAAGGTAGCATGGAGGCGGTCATGGTCATAATTGTGCAGATACGGTGGCAGCCTTGTATAGCAGCGGCAGATGGCAGGCACGGTGGCAGCCTTGTATAGCAGCGGCAGATGGCAGGCACGGTGGCAGCCTT